GGAAAAAAATGTAGAATTGTGATATCATGTACCATGGAATTCTACAAGGTTTGAAAACAGGGAATTTTTCAAAATGTGCATTTGACGGTGCACACGAAACAAACACCATTAGAGGACTGATGGGAGAGGTTAGAGAGTAATAAAGTGAAGTGCATTGGAGTTTTCAAAGGAAAATTAAAATGAGGTTTGAATTGATATTGAAGTTCCTATAGAATAAGGGCATAGGAAAGGACTCCGTATGAATTTGGTAACCCTAGCAAGTCTTGTGATCCAAAGGGTTTCCATAGGAAGAAGATCCTTATAATTCAAATCCTCCAAAGTCCCACAATCCAAATTCAAAGTGACCCAATTCATCGGGAAACCATTTTTCTGACAAAGGAGATTTGCATTCAACTAATATACGAAGATGATACATCCGTACTGAGAGAATGCCTGACCTATGTATATCACGATGCACATAGCCAACACATCCAACACAAACAAAAATAAAATATTGTCTCACAACAAAAGTATAAAAAGGCAGTCCAACACATCCTAAGATTACACTGCCATCCATGCTGGGGAAAAACCTCCCTGCCCATACGCTCCAGCCGGGTAGACGCCATCATAAAAATTTCTCTGTTCTCCGGCATCTGTAGGATAGACAAGTACAAAGCCATGGCATACATGCATAAAATAATCGCACAAGAGATGAAACACATTTTTGATATAACAAACATATCATTCCTGATAAGCAATAGAGCCCAACATAAGGTTGTCATGCCCACACGAATATGTGAGAATGTTGGTTTTCAATACTCAGCAACCAATTGCCGAATATATTACGCGCACTATGAGAGTAAAGGTTTGGAGCTACTTGTACTATGGCCCATGCTGCATGAGCAAACTTACAAAAAAAAGTGTTTAATGGACTTGGTATGTTGGCAAAAGACACAATTCTTGCTACTTTGCCAATTACGACGTCTCTAGTCAAGATCACACCTTTGCTAAAAAAATCAGATGAATATCTTCACCAAAAGAGGTAATTTGAGCTTCCACGTTTTTCTATTATCAAGAAGAACATCATCATAGACAATTGGCTCATATAATGACTTAACAGAAAACCTGGTGTTGTGATGCAATTTCCATCAAAATTCGCCTCGTTCGTTTGATAGCTAAATGGGATGCAGACGTGTGAGAAATTCATCCCATGCTGTGAGGTGAGGCGCCAATAGATCCCTACAACGAGAAATATTGGGGTATGTTTGACCTTATAACCTACGCAATTGTGACGACTTTATGTCTAACAGTCCGAGACAGGCTTGGGTATTGCACCATAAGTGGGCTAGCACCCCACCATCTCAAGGTGAACCATGCCTTACTTAAGAGCTAGTTCTTCGCTTGTTTGCTTAATTGTTAGGCGTGCATAGTATGCAAATAACCAATTGGTGTCAACATCGATGATTTGTACGTGTGTAATATATTGGCTTTGAGCATCTTCGGAATGGCTCTTAAATAAGGTCCCAAATTATGTTTGGGGGCTTAGGATAAAAAAAAGGTCCAATAGGACCCACAAAATAGGGAGGCCCTCAGACTACACTACAAAATCACCGACATGGCCTGTGTGATGACGACAACCTCGTTGAACCCACAATAAACAACCATAGAGGTGATGGCGCGGTGCTTGGGTGGAGTCATGCAGGTACCTAGGAGGATGCGCGGGAGATCAAAGATTGCAGAGCCGACGAGCATGGGCAACGCCTACAAAGGCAGATAGGGTCGCCACATGGCTTTGGTGTGGTGGTAACCATCTACTCTTTCCGGTCATTTTTACTTCACGTATTAGATTTGTGTCAAATCAAACTTTTAAAAGTTTGACCAAATTTATATTAAAAAATATCAACATCTACAATACCAAATATACTATGAAACTACATTTCGTAATGATAACAATATTGATTTGGCAGGTGAATGTTGATACTTTTTTCTATAAGTTTGGTCAAAATAAAGATACTTTGACTTCGGACAAAATTTATATACGGACTAAAAAGGACCGGACGGAGTATTTCCCTCCTCGAGAGGAGGCTGGTTCGAGTCCCTTTTTCACACAACCTTTTTTGTTTATTTTCAAAATATGTACATGAGTCGAACTCGCGACCTCATAGGTTAGCGCGTGCGTACAAACCGTTCCATTGAGATACTATCAGTTCCATATATATAGTTTTTAAAAATTGAATTGTAATTTTGTCCGAAATATGTTCAGTATTTCTC